CATCAGTAAGCTCCTACAAAACCACTGGATCCTCGGTCAGTTTCCCATCAGTAAGCTCCTACAAAACTACTGAATCCTCAGTCAGTTTCCCATCAGTAAGCTCCTACAAAACCACTGGATCCTCGGTCAGTTTCCCATCAGTAAGCTCCTACAAAACTACTGAATCCTCAGTCAGTTTCCCATCAGTAAGCTCCTACAAAACTACTGAATTCTTGATATCTCATGAAGTGAACCATTATATTCTGATTCAGCCTCGATTCTACGAGCTTCTCTTAGCTGAGTGAGAAAAAATTCATGAAGATCTCAAACATAAGTTGGATGAAAATCATGTAGAGGACAAATACTTTCTGATGCAGGAGGATCTGTAGAAGTTGAAATGTTATTAGAGTTTTATTGATAATAGTTTATCTGTTTGTGTAGGTGCAGGAGGATCTGTAGAAGTGGAAATGTTATTAGAGTTTTGTTGATAATAGTTTACCTGTTTGTGTAGGTGCAGGAGGGTCTGTAGAAGTGGAAATGTTACTAGAGTTTTATTGATAATAGTTTATCTGTTTGTGTAGGTGGATCTGTAGAAGTTGAAATGTTATAAGAGTTTTATTGATAATAGTTTATCTGTTTGTGTAGGTGCAGGAGGATCTGTAGAAGTTGAAATGTTATTAGAATTTTGTTGATAATAGTTTATCTGTTTGTGTAGGTGCAGGAGGGTCTGTAGAAGTTGAAATGTTATTAGAATTTTGTTGATAATAGTTTATCTGTTTGTGTAGGTGCAGGAGGGTCTGTAGAAGTTGAAATGTTATTAGAATTTTGTTGATAATAGTTTATCTGTTTGTGTAGGTGCAGGAGGATCTGTAGAAGTGGAAATGTTATTAGAATTTTGTTGATAATAGTTTATCTGTTTGTGTAGGTTACAAAACATAGGCTTGTTTTTCCCACAGGGAGAATGCTGTTACTTATTATGAGCAAGGACACAACCAGGAGAAACTAGTTGAGTGTTACTACATGTTGGAGGATTACGACAGCCTGGAAAAACTAATGAAAAGCTTGCCTGAAAATCACAAACTTTTGTCAGTATGTATATTTTATATGCAATACACACCTGGATATCAATAAATAACTTAGTAATACACACCTGGATGTCAGTAAATAACTTAGTAATATACACCTGGATGTTAGTAAGTAATTTTTATACATTTAAAAAGTCAGTAAGTAACTTATAGACTTGGGTGTAAGTAAGTAAAAGTCTATAAAAGTTACGGGGTGTCAGTAAGTAAGTAACTTTTATAGACTTGGATGTCAGTAAGTAAGTAACTATTATAGACTTGGATGTCAGTAAGAAAGTAACTTTTATAGACTTGGGTGTAAGTAAGTAAGTAACTTTTATAGACTTGGGTGTCAGTAAGAAAGTAACTTTCATAGACTTGGATGTCAGTAAGAAAGTAACTATTATAGACTTGGGTGTAAGTAAGTAAGTAACTTTTATAGACTTGGGTGTCAGTAAGAAAGTAACTTTCATAGACTTGGGTGTAAGTAAGT